CAGTTCATCGGATCATACGCCCTTTGCACGTGGTCGAACGTCCAAGGTGCCCAATACACCTCGAAGCCCAATCGAGCCGGTGACCACAGCCCCGGATATCGGCTTTTCGTCCTCTCACTGTGGTGGAAAAACACCTCCATCACAAGAAGGCATTGCGTAGGGTTTTCTTCAGCAGAGGCCATTTGAGACGCTTGGTCGTATGGGAGCATTTCGTGGGCTGCAAGGGAAGGGTGACCAGCCGCAATCCTAGACACCCACTCCCGAACATACTGAGGCTTTTGGAGGTAGATTAGGAAGATACAGGAGCGCCACTGTTTCCAACACTCAACCATATCACTCGGTGATCGAGTCTCCTGGTGAAGGTTTTTATACCCTCATTGCAGATCTTAATTTGGCAGCACTTGACTGCTTCTGGGTGAATTACCTCACGCAATTGAACTGACCTAGTGCTATTTCCTACCAGCAAACAACTAGCTAAAAACTAGAGATACGGTTATAAAACTAACAGCGAGGGTTGCTGAAATTAGCCAAACCCAAAACACTTGGTTAACGGCACACACTTTCGTACGTAAGTAAATTGTTAGCTAATCATCTTATGAGGAATATGGAGAATTCGGATGAGAGGAGGGAAGGATCCGTCAGTCATCAAGGTGAGCGTCAAACTGCCTTGAGTGTGTGGGCGGACAATCTAACTATTTGTGTGTGTAAGTGGTTAAACTGAATTCAACTAGCACCAAACATCTGGTACGAGATATGGTTGTCATCAGACTTAATAGTGTTCCCATTCTGTATTATAAAACTCTAAAGCTTATGCAATTTCATGTTCATTGTGTGGAATATACTCGTGATCAAAAGTGCTTAGAAGGATCGATTTGTAAGAGCATAGAATAGAATTATTGATGAAGAGATAATTTATAAAGCTCCTTACACATATGTATACAGATATGATGTTCAAGAATGTTGTTTAGTAAATCAAACCGATGATTCAAGGCAATGTTTTAATAGAGATAATGCTTCTTGGAACTTTAAGATTTAAGCCAGTACAGTCGGATTCAAATTTGGTGCAACAATGGTAATGTGTATTGCATGCAACCGGATAATTCAGCCCCGCCCACCCCTTTTTAAATGGGACCAGGGTTTGAGTCTAGACTCGGTCGCAGAGCGCACAAACAAGTGTTTGAACTCAAACTAACACATGAAAACAAATATATAATATGCAATATACATGATATAATTTTTCATATACTACTTATTTTGAAATATAAGTGTACATAAGACAATGTGCCTTTTGAAGAATGATAACAAAGTCATCCCAGCTAGACCATGACACTAAGCAGAAACAGCCTTTTATTCTGATACTACCTTTAGTTGAATACGTGATACTACAAACAATCTTCAGAGTGTTTTCATAGGACACTGTTGTGTGATAAACAACTAGTATGATTAATCTCTGAGCCACTCATAGGACGCGATAACCTTAGCTCCGGGAACGGAGGTGATGAATCACTTAGGGCCCCACAGTAGCAATGGCACGGTAATAATCCAACGACAAAGGAGCTGTTTACTATCAGAGTTCGGCGAAAGGTTTGGGCTGCGAACCTAGGACCCTAGAGCCAAAAGCATGCCAATGCTAGCGACTTAAACTGCTTGACCAATAACGCGAACAAGGGCTGCCATGAGGTTCAAAGAAATTGGGAACGTTAGACGGCGGTACTGGCGTTTGAACACACGACCTTCATTACCGCAACCCTAATGACCGCATCGCACAGAAAAGTCGATGAGATCAACGAAAACAAATACAAGTAGCAGATGGATTCGTCTCTGCAAAAAAATAAGACGCCTTGGGGGAAAATTCACGAAAAGCTTCAAAATGATG